AAGTGCTGCAATTTCAATATTACACATAATGTCTTTTAGCTAAAGGTAGAGAAGAGCATTGAATTCTTATTTTTGACATGTAGAGGGCACACAGGGAGAGTGAAAGCAATGTTGTGGCAAACATGAGACACATGTAACCACCAGAAGAAAGATTTAGCAGCTGAACAATCAGACACTTGATTTAGTCAGCAGTCAGGGATGAAATGCAAACTATAAAGGGACTGAGGGAAACACTGAGGAAAAACTTGTCAAGTGAACCTTGAACCTAAATACTAATGCTGCTGTGTAAGGGGCCAAATCTTTGGTGACATGGCCAACAATAACAATTGCATTCTCATATCCTGTTAACCAGTAAGCTTAGTTAAACTTACTTCAAGTGCTCTATTATTATCACAGAAATACTCCATCCATCCTTCTTCTTCTTATCCAATTCAGGGTCACGGGGCTGGATCTTATCCCAGCTACCAAAGATCGAGAGGCAGGGAACATCCTGAACAGGTTGCCAGACAAAACTACCATTCACATTCACATTGACCCAAATAACTGAATTACTTCATCTTTTAATAATCATATTGGCATTTGTTGTGAAAAACCTAAATTCTTCAGTATAATCAATTAGTTAAAGCATTTAACTAGAGATCATTTATCTGATTTCAAGTGCAGGACCGCACCTGCATACAGTCTACAGCTGATCTCTGCCTATATAACCCCCTGATACTACAAGCTGTTTGTTCTCATTTCCACCCCACCCTCCTTCCCTTTTTTCATTCATTCACTTCTCACTAGTACATGGGGATCTGCCTGGCCTCGGAGCTATCTCCAGATCCCTCTGAGGCCTTCCTCAAACTGCAGCCTTGTGCCGTTATCTGCTAGAAGTGCTGTCAAACCTAAACGAGGATGTGGTCCAAGCTAGTGAAAGGAGCAGTTAAATGTTTAGCTACACATGCTTCTCTATTTATAATCACCAAATTTTAACAAGTTGAATATAAAAAAAGCTCTAGTAACTTGTTACAATATTTATATTTTGTTTTATTTGCAGAAGAAGCTACGTGTAAAATAAACAAAACAAAGCACCTCTACTGTAGGTGAGTTGCCAGGTAGCAAGTAAGTGGGAAGGTATGTGAAAACCCCCAGAGACCAGAAACAGTCTGTGCAGAGTGTATCTTAACAATAAGCAGCAACACACTTAAATAATGTGCATCCATCATGCTAAACATAACCTCTCAAAACACATTGCAATGTAAATGTGTATGCATGTTTCCTTGCAACATCATCATTTCGTGCTTTTACAGTTAAGTCCATAACTTTTTGAGGCAATGACTGATTTTAAATAATTTGTCTCTATACACCGACACCATCGGAGTGGATTTAAATCAGGCAATCATGATGTAGCTGAAGCTCAGACTTTCAGCTTTACCTCAAGAGTTTGAAAAAAGAATTGCATTAATTGCTATGTTTCTATACACAGCCCCCTGTCACTGACATACACACAAACAAGCAGGACTGAATATCCATCTTATACAAGACGGACGAACAAAGAGGTGATGCATGACGCGCTCAAGACGTCCTCACAGCCTCTGCTTTACAATTCTTCGTATCTTTATTAGATCTTTCGCAGCTCCGTCTCATTTTTCCCCCAACTTATTCATCCTTTCAAAAGCACTATGAAAAATTCATACTTGGGGATGGTGAACTGCCCGCTCTTATTTAAAAGAAACGATTCATTTTCACATCTGTTGGTATACTCAGGCTACCTCTTTAGATCAAAATCTGCACTGCATAAAGAGGAGAAAAAGTTCTCTCAGTGAGGGAATAAATGACTCAAGGAGGCATTTCATTTGTATGCCGGTGCAGGTGTCTCCTACAGCGGGCTGTGGACGCTAATACATTTGAAGCTCTTCGTTATGCTAACGAGCCTCTTGCTACAAGTAGAAAAAACTTCTGGTTTCTAAAGATCACTCTGGCTTGGACACAGAAAATTTGTATTTCTAATAATTAATATTGATCCCGTGCTGTGTTGTTGCGCTTTAAAAAAATTTATGCATGGATTTTGTAAAACTGCAAAACAGACGAGCAGGTAGGGTCAACAGGTCCTATACATAATACATTACATATGCAAACACATATGCGCCGTGACGGTGGTTTAAATAAACACTTAACTCTAGATCCATGCATGGGTCAGTAGTGACAGTGTGGCTCCACTTGTCACTAGCCCAGCTGCACTCTTTAATTATACACACATTGATTGGTCGGGATGTCGATAAGGCATTTAAGCGGCTTAATCCTCGTTGTTGTATTAACATGAGCAACATGCACATAGTTTATGTATTAATTCTCAGCCTGAGGTGGTGTACTTGTATTTTTTCTTCTTCTTTTTTGCCTCTTGCATTACAATTCAGCTGCCCCAGGTTTTCGTGAAATGTCAATAGAAAGAGGAGAAACTCATCGATTTGACTGCCGGTGGCAGGGGGGGGGGAGGAGGAGGCGGTGGCGGTGGTGTTGTCGTGGCTGCTGAAGTTGCTAAACTGAAGCCAAACTCCGATGTTGTTCTCTCATGCTTAAAACCAACAAATCTATCAGAAAGAGCAACACATTAAAGACTTAGAGTTAGATTAGAGCCTATTGAAAAAGCAATTTTCAGTTCTGCACTGTTAAGTCAGTCCATTCATGGGTAAATACCTGCTCTAGCTATACAGTAGACTGTTGCAGCCCTCATGTACTGTATAGGCCCTCCATCCTCTCTGTGGTTACTTCCAGGTCTATTAACAGTAAATCCCTTTGGATGGAGCTGTCCTCTGCCGAGGTGACCCGGGGCTGGGACAGATAGGCCCACCATTGTTACCACTCACACTCGGCACAACACATAACATAGAAAACAAAGCGCTTACTTTAGTGCTGACAGACAGCAGGCTAATTCGCTAAATCTGCTCTAGTTCCCCACCAAGAGGCAACATTTAATATACAGATGCTCAGACTGAACAGAGGCAAATGGAAATGTGCAGGGACTAATGATGGGATATTACTTTATTATATTAAGAGTGTCTATGTGATAAGATTCTTTTCATTATCTCAGTGACAACCAACCTGTAGCAGACATGTTTGTCGCTTCTGTCGTATGTTATATATTTTAGGAACAACTTTGTTGGTCTAACGCGCGCTTCTTTATCCACACATACACACACACAGTCACAGTCCTGGGTTTGAATCCACCAGCCAGCTGGCTTTTTATGTGCAGTTTGCGTATTCTCCCCGTGTCTGTTTGAGTTCTCTCTGGGTTTCGGCCTCCTCCCACATGCCAAATATGGAAGTGTTCAATATATTTTGCTTCCAAAGAACCAGAATTTCTTGTAACTTTTTGAACCAGTCCTGAGTAACACTTCTTTAGGCTCTCTGAAAGTCTTTCAAATGTTCTCTTTGGACATTAACTGCTTTTTCACTCATTTTCAGTGCAATCTTTGTACTCAACCATTACTGGGGATACCATTTTTTTCATTTCTTAAGCCACTTAACACTGACCTATGAACCATCCAAGCATAAAAAAAGACACAGGAAAACCCCTCAGCAAAGGACCTGGATGTTAGAGACACAGGATCTGAGAGAAGCATCTGTCTTAATTTCTCAATTGGATAAATGGAAGAAACTGGATGGAAAATACTGTCAGAAATATTTCCTTTGTACACACACAGGAGAATGGAATTTTCAGCCATGCTATAGAAACACATAATCGACACTCTGTTGTAAAGTTGACACAGAAAGAAATGGAATTTTTCAGTGGTGTTCCCATTCATGTAATGGTGTTTTGAAAGTGTACAAGATGGATTGCCCACAAAACATCCTGTTGCTAGAAGTGAATGCACTAGACAGTTAGCAGCTCTGTGTCCACAAAGTGAATTTCAGCACCACCTGGACTTTGCAGTTGGGAATTGGCAGGTTACAGAACCAAATCAGACATTAATATTCTCCTAAGCACCTCTGTTGGATGATGTCTAAGTTTAGGGCTCTGTAAAAACAGCATAAGGTGGCAAATCCTCGAATGTTAAGACTGAAGCAAAGGTGGCTTTAAAAGAAGGATAATAATCAGGTTCTTTCTAAAACTGGCAGAGTAACCAAAATGTTGGCAGAAAACCGTATTTTATGTTGAAAGAAATGTGTTTGGGGAATAGTTGCCTTTTAGGGACTTTGTGAATTTTGTACACTTTGTACACCTTGTGCCTGTGTTCTGTATTGATTGTGGTGTTGTAGCAAAAATATAAAACATTAGGTACGTTGTTCAACTTTAAGACTTTTTTTCCCCCCACAGCGTTGCTTCAAAAGCATCGCTGTACCAGCTCCTAGTGGCACAGCAGCGCTCCATTAAAGCATCAAAAGGATGTACTTATCTTTACTGCCACGCAGCCTTTCATACCTTTCCTGAAGGAAATAGAAAACAGCAGTGCTGATAAAAGTAGAAACATGAAAGACTTTTACAGGACTGTATCCTGATGCTGGGTTTGCTTTCATTATTGAAAGCTCTGAAATCTTGCTTTCATTTATGGCGCCGGTGAATGATGTGGCAGGTGAGCTGTTTGGCCATCTGTCGCAATTGCCCCAAATATGAAATATATATTTATTTTTTAAAAACTTTGGCTCATCTACCTGAGATTGGAACGGTTGGCCATCATCACACTTTAAAGGCAAATACACAGAAGTAATAATGTAAACAACTAAAATGTTTATTAACCGAACTGAATTTTTTTTTCTTTTACAGCAAATTCTTATCACAACACAGTCTTCAAATGACACTTAACCCTTTGAGTACAGTTAGATTGGCCACTCTGATCTGAAGAGTAAGCAGTGAACAGACCAGGGGATTCCTCTGCCATAGTCCACTATAAAACATGAAGTGGCACATCAGGAGCTCGAAAGTCCTAAACTTGTGTTATTTTTTTAAAAAGTCAGACATAAAAGGATAAAACACAATGCCCCCCCCACCCCAAATTCCTTCCTTCTTTCTTTCTTTCTTTTTTTTTTTTTAGCAGAAACTGAAACAAGAACATTTTCAAGATTTTCGATTTTCTTTACATGTGTACATAGTTCTATGTTGTCTGATTCCCATAAAGTCATGTTTCACTTCAGATCATACAAACATGTTGGAGAAAAAAAAAAGCTCATGAATGCAGTGAGCAGCCTGTCCTGGCGCTTAGAAAAGACGCTTATCTCTGCAAGTTCTGATTTCCGAGTCTGATTTCCACCTCTGCCGACTCTTAGTAAGGGACACCGATTAGAGATCAGAATATATACACACAGGCTAATCAAAACTGTGTTATCCTAAAACAGTGAAAAGACATGAATCTATGACGGATACAATACTAAACAGGTTAGAGCAAGAATAGAAAAATAAATAGTAAAAACAATAGAAATGTTGCTTCTCTCATATTCAGCTTGCAACGCTCAGTTCCAAAGAAGCTGTGGTAGTGAAAATTATCCTCATAGTCTTACTTTCTTTACAGTGACCTTCCCCTTTACACAGTATTTACAAGCAAAAACAGAGCCTATCCCACGAGATAAGAAACGTAGTCCACTAAAATGAATACATTTTTCATGAACACAATGGGAATTTTTAAAAAACTGCAGTTGTATCACATTGTCAGTATGTAAACGCACTTACACACAGTTTGCAAACAGTGGTTTTTAGTAGACGTAGTTCATATCAAATCAGTCAACAGAGCAATCTGAAACTTTGTACAATTATCTGCTTTTGTTTCCTTTGATTTTGTTTTTGTTTTTGATGGGTACAGAAAACATTTACATCATCTTTTTTTCCCCTTCTGTATGTGTACTTTGTCCACAGTTGACAATTTCGGTATTAGAGTGTTTAGAGTGTAAGGAGAGGTGATACAAGGACATCGTGGCTAAGGAGGACATGCTGTAATAATTGCTCTCAACTCCAAAAAGCGAGGTCATACCTAAAACTGTTTTAAATACCAGTTAAATTACATAAAATGTTTTTTTGATATATATATATTAAAGCCAGTGCAGACTATAACAATTGTAACATGTCCCAATTTTACCATGAGTTGTCCTATTGCTATGCAAATGGGTTGCAGCTTCTGCATTCTTTTTTTAATGGCAAACAAGGGGTGGGTCATCTTGTTGCAACACGCCTGATGGTTGTACAGAAATCTCTTTGCAAACAGCCTTCAGCTCAGTGAACATTTTATTGATGAGTTCATGGTTTTAATTGCTGGGTTTTGGTACAATACCTTGTCACTGAAAAGATTCCATATGAACTTATTGTATAGTATCTTTCGATTACAGGCAGATCCACTCCTCACTGATAGTTTAAAGAAAGCCAAGATGGCAAAGGTGGAAGAACTCACCAACAAAACTAATGACCTAGACCCTGAACCATCCCTTAGTTATGCTGCAGTAGGTTTAGACTTCTGGGGGTCAGGGCAGATGGCTGCCTCTCCCTGAGCCTGGTTCTTCTCGAGGTTTATTGCTGTTATGGGTGTTTTTCCTTCCCACTGTTGCCAAGTGTTTGCTCATTGGGGGTCACCTGATTGTTGAGGTTCCTCTGCATTATTGTAGGATCTTTATCTTATAGTATAAAGTGCCTTGTTGTGACTTGGAGCAATATAAATAAAACTGAATCCCTCTGGTATTCTTTATAGTCTAGGATTTCTACAGAAAAATACTTTTTTTTTAAAACTTGCCTAGAGAAGATCCTATGGATTGCAATGAAGCCTTTTCCAGGATCTCTTGCATTTGCAGCACTTGCAGTCATTTGCTCTTATCCTAAAGTTGTACAAATGAAAATGACAAGGCTGTTTTCTTTGGGTACAAGAGCCAATTTCATTATTATAGACTATGTACCTCTCCAATTTCTTGCCTTGGTGCCCTTTAGCCTCATTGGATTTTGTTCATCTCAGTCTCAGACCTGTTTACAACCTGCTCCTCGATACCATCTTGTTTGCCGCTATGACAGAAATATGATACAGCAAGCGGATTACTCATGACGATGGATTATTGTCTTGATAAGACAACTGCAGTAAAAGTTATGTATTTTGGACTAGGCTTTTTTGCAGCTCACCAACTGATTTCCATGTCTTCACATTTAAAAAAAATGAAAGTTTCATTTCCACTGTGAAGGATTATCTCAACCTGAAAGCTGTTTTTCATCCTGACACGACGAATGGATTCTTCTGAAGGAGGAAAATGAGTCCTGATATCTGCACTGACTGAGTGCAGAAGATTCAAACACGAAGGAGAAATCGAGAGAGAGAAGGCCCTAACTGTCGAAACTTTGAAAGGAAACCCCAGTTATTATTACAGCTGCCAAAAATTAACTGAGTGGTAAGTTGATGCGCAACAAAGGATTACCTAATAACAATTTTTTTGCTTATTTGATCCGAGGGTGAACATTTCACATCAGATTTCTGCAGTTATATAACAATCATGTTATATAACTGCAGCATAAGTCGTGGCCTTGAAACCTAATTTGCTTTTAGTACTCATTTAAAGAAAAAACAAAAGAAAATAGTGTTGAAAATTTCCTCGGGGGGGGGGGGATACTGACCGACATAGGCTGATGGCAGTGACACTCGAGGGTCAACATTAACACTCTTGAGAAAAGCTTAAGGACAGTGCAGACAAATGTGGATGAGGGCTGAGGGACAGGGTAGGGGAACAGGAGACAAGAGCATCCGCGTAACTATGAACGTGTGAACTGTAGCAGTAAAGACTCTCCTGCCTTAATAATCCTGGCTGTCTGTAAACAGATTCAACACTTGGTGACCTTCTGGCATAATCAAATCCAGGGCTGCGTGACAATGCTTTAATTATCCGCATCCCTCTCCTGCGCTCACTTTTTGTGTCCCTGCCACCCTGGGTGTGCCATATGGTGCAGAGCCGAGGAGCCCGGAGAGACGCCGCAGAAGTCCAACCCTCCACGAGCTCAGATTTAATCAATGACTATGGCTGGCACTCATTCTGGCCTGCAGGAATCCACTGTGCATCGCCACACACCTTTCAGATGCTTTTCATACCCTGACTGCCGTTGTTAAGTGTAGGCATCTGGCAGTCATCCTCATTTGAAGACGAGATGCTGTGGTTGAGGGAGTGTTAGAAAACTGAAGTGGCTCAGAAGGACAGACATGTTGTCTGTCCCAGTTCAGAGCCTCAGGGATGCGGTTTAATATAGATGTGGCATTTATAGGGTTTGATGACTGAAAGCAGGACTGTTTTCCAGCTACATCTACCAGCAGTAATAAATACCTGTTCCAAGCAGCCACGCTCAAAAGCGAGTCAACGTTATTGTGGTACACTGCATGTCATGGCTATTTCTGGAAAATCCTTTAAAATGGGACTGATGGTGTCAGAGAATAATAAATTAATACATAATCTCTGTAAACACATACCTGCCTATCAGAGTCCGTAGGCAAGGGACAGTTTTTCTGGCTTCAGCTTGTAGTAGGTTGTACTTGCATCTGAGTTAAGAATCAGAATTACTGGCTATCATCTGAAAATGTATTTATTGATTTTTTTGACGTATTTTATCTGTTGGGTGTTACGCCCCAAATCTACGTCACCTGATTAGCTGACAGGTTTCTAGATTGTCAAATTATCAGTCTGCTCTAGACTCTCAAATATTGCAGATTTCAGTTTCTGGGTCCAGGGCCAGCTAGATGTTTTGATGAAACATTAACGATGTATGCAAAGCTAATGTGCACCACTGACATGGTTTATACTTCTACCTGTTTTGCCAGAGAACCACTCAAAAAATGTAAAGATGGAAGTTTGTATATTACGATGTGTTCAAGATGTGACTTTTGTAATGTCAAAGAAGAATGTAGTCCACAACTATTTGGGAAATATCAGTGATGGAAATCATGCTGACACCAGGACGTGAGGTCAACATGTTGTAAATTCATTTGGATTTCACACAAATCAGGACATCCAAAAGCTATTGCTAAGTTTTTAGCACAATATGGACAATATCAGTGACAGAAACAAAAAAACGCTACTCACAAAAAATCTGGTACTGAAATGAAAACTGACCCCATTTCATCATAACATTGTAATATGACACTGAACTACCTCCTGATTCAGTAACACAAAACACAGTAAAGTGGATGCATTCCTTTTGGTTACCAAAGTAATGGATGTTTAGTTTCCTGTAGGCGACCAAGCATTAAAGAGCCCGTGTTTGAGCAAATGTAGACAGATGGAGCCCCTCAGCATCCGTCTGGCTGTTTGTCTCTGGTTTCGGGTTTGAGACATTTAAAAAGGTTTCAAGACATTTCGTGAAAGGATGGAATTGAACACAGAGACACAAACACAACACAGCGACTGTGGTGAGAGCAACTCGGGCCTCTGTCTCCTCCTGAGTCACGCACGCACACTCAGTCGCTGTTTGTCGACAGAGGTACAGCATAAAAGCACAGCCGCGACACCCCAGTCTGTCCAGTGTGTGTTTGCAAATTTTCTTTTTTTGTGCACACACTGGCATGCACATGTGCATGCGAGAGTCTGTCTGTCTGTCTGAGGGGAAGGGTCGTCAGATGGTTGAGGGGATGTGGCAGTCCCATAGTGAAAGGAGAAGAAGAGGACGGCACGTGGAGGAGGAGGAGGGAGGGCTTTAGTTGTTCTGAAGGCAGTCGAGATCCACCGAGCAGCAAACGCTTCCATTCTGAACAGAAAGGCATGACAAGATAGGAAAGAAGAGAGAGCATTAAATAAGGTGAAATGTAATATACAGTTCCACACTGTGCATGGTAAAGCTAATAACTCACTTCACAGCCTAAATCACTTTTATCCACTTGACTTACAGAAGGATTTGGGGTGGTTAACCTCATGTCTCTAGTGTCATTACAGTGGTACCTAGTTATACAGTTTCAGCATTATCCCATATACATTTGAGATATCAAACTGATATCATGAGATTTATGCTTTCACTCTAGTGCATAGGGATTATGAATTTGTGGTGGTAAGCAGTGGCACATCTGAGAAACTGAAGCACAATATATCTTTCCCAAAAGAAGTTTCCAGTTCCGCTCGATAGTCAGCAGCTCTCACTGTCATACAGACTGTGATCTGGAGTGAACAGTCGCTATGAAAAGGTTTTTCTGAGGTTAATATCTCAAAAATATGTATCAAGGGTAACGGGCCCTCTGTATTTATGGCCGTGAAGAACACGAGGTCCTGTCTGGTCAGACGTAAAAACTGTCTCCAACAGTGCCACATTGTCTCAGATTGTGTCACGGAGCTGCAGAGTGACACTAGGTTGGTGATTCAAGAAAGCACAGGCACGATGTGGCCACGTCCAAACATCACATCAACGCAAAGACTGCTGCAAATATGTATCTAGTCTACTGATTCAGTTTATGTAACAACTATGGAAAAGTACAATGTAGATTTAGGTCTATGTATTTGATGTGCTCATTTTGCTCTTTTATGTATTCTGACTGCAAAGAAAACAAGCAAAACCAAAAAAGCTAAAGTGAGGGGGCAGCAGCCTATCTTCACCTAATGAGTGGATCTGACACGTTCCTGCCACAGTCATCTGCATGTTCACTTCTTTTAAGGTAAAAATGCTCCTTACATCATCTCTGACAGTCATTTTTCTTTTATGCATTCATCTTAGAACACATATAGACACTGTGTGCCCTCTAGCACACATTAGCTAAATTGATTATGCCACATTTTCAGTCTCAAAGATTTTCTGCTAACAGCCAGTAATGGCTGTCATTACTGGTAAAATTGTGATCTTTTGGAACATCTGACATTTTTACATCTAAAACCCACAAGTCTTATCCCATTTGCAGACCCTGGAAGAATATCAAACAGAAGTTTGGGGAAAGTGTTTTCAAGTTAGCGATCTCCTGTATACTTTAGCCTAGCATGTTTGCCATTATGGCGGCTCTGCTACGATCACACTGGTTTATGTTGTGTCCAGCTGGCATACGTTTGTGCCTTGCACAGCCGCCCCTAACCCTGCCAATCAGAACAACCCCTCTGGTTAGTTACTTTTTTACTCATTGTAATGGCTTTTTATTACAACACAGAGAGCTGACTGTTGGTCTTGGAGTTGGAAATTGGTTCATTTCTGTGTTTTCTCTCAGTCAGATGTGAAAACAATGATTTATGTCAGATCTTTTCCTAGACAGCAACACTGTGCTTGGGCTTCTTGCCCTGATGTACACTGTTTTTGTGGAACTCTGCCATAGAAAGTTAGCAGTCCCCATCAACCCTCAATAGCCTTAATAATAGCAATGTTGACAGGTTGAAATAAATTAAAATAAGTCTCTTTACAAACCGGCAATTTGGAGCTCAAAAACAGTTAAAAAATCTACACAATTAGTTTGTTCATGCTGCATTGACCTACCTTGCACTTGCAAGTGGTGCAGGGTGATTTGGGCATATGCCATGTGTCTCCGCTGAGGCGGGCGATGCCTGCGGGGTCCTTGCATGTCTGCCGAATGTCATACGACAGGTTGTCAGCCAGGCAGGGGTCTGTGACGCAGCGTGGGCAACATTCGCCCTCTGCCACTGCCGTGTACTCGCACATCAACGTGGGGCAAACTAGAGGCCAGCAGTCGACCTCCCCTTCCTGCAGAGACACAGGCAGTGATGAAAAAAAGCACCAGAATTGCTATAGCGTGTGTGAATTTTCCTTTCTTTTCTTTTTCTAGTGTGTGTTTGTGTGTGAGACAGAGAGAGAATTCAGTTACAGATCTCACGCTGGTCTGTTGCCACATCTCTAATTAGAGAGGTGGTAATTTTCTCAGCCCTCATACACACACAGTTAACCAGCAGATCAGGGAGTGGTATGAATTAAAGCCCTGCTCTGAGCTTCATGTTAGAGAGGAGGGTTTTGTCTTTTTGATGTGATCTGTGTCTTCCAACAAAGCTCTTGCCTGCTTTTATTTAAAATGGACAATAGCTTCTGTGTGAATGTGTGTGTGTGTGTGTGTGTGTGTACAAACCATGCAGCGGCACTGCTGGCAGCCGTACAGCCAAGATGCTCCGCTGCGGTAAAGTGTGCGTCCGCTCTGATCCAGACACTGGCTGCTGGGCCTGTTGTCACATCCAGGACAGCAGAACAGATCCTCTTCTGGGTCTCCACAGTCACAAGGTCTCCGCCTGCAGTACGTCTGCCCATCCTAAACAACAAACGTCACACACATCGGGGTGCAAACTGGCTTAAATAATGTACGTAGCTTATCATCTCTGTATATTCTGGGTAGTAAAATACAATACCCAATACACAATAAAGGTGTCCCTCAGTAAAACAAAGGGCTTCAAACTCACTGTGATTTATATAAAAATGAAATAATGGGTCTATAAACATGAAATATTACTGTGAACAAACACAGTTTGAGCACTTTCCTGAGGCAGATTTTTACTTTTGTGTAAATGATCCGTCATTGTCTTTGACAAATGGGAACACCCTGAAGTCGCCGTACCAAGGCACAGCCTTACAAACAATGCATTTTCTGACTTTCTCCTTTTCATATGTCTCCCACTCTCTCTCATCAATTTGCAAAACAATAACATGAACACCAAGCAGGCTTTTAAAGCACGTTGTTTATTATTTCTAAATTAAAATTTAATATCTGATTTATATAAATATGTCTGGCCTAAAATTAGTAACTTGTTAAGCACTTTTGACAACAAGTCTTGCTGACAGTCAACCAAAGTGGGTGGGGGGCATTCTCTACTGAGAGCAGGTCTGGACCATGGATGATATAAAGCAGGTTTGAAAAGTGAGGATAATGCAAAAGTGCCTTGAACCTGCATTCTCTCCAAAGGACACCGGATGGTAAAGCTGCAGTTGTAAAGACTTCTATGGGAAAGTCTATGGAAAAATTGCTACAGTATCTGTCTTGATCTCTGTAAAGAATTTCCTGCTAGCTTCATGGCTCAGTCACTTGTTTCGGGTTCTATTTAATAAAGAATGACTTCTTTTTTATAGATCATGGTGAAACTCTGTTAAAAAATTAGGACTTGTCAGTCACAAGTCATTAGCTAATGGGTTTCACAGTCAGACAAGCTCCAGTTTGTTGAAACCAGAATGGTGATGGTGAAAATGCTAATCTTGAGGCTTGAGTTCGAGACTTTAGAAATCAGTGGTTGATGTCTTGTTAGATAAGCTCACCTATTATACCGTCCATGGTCTACATCTGCATCTCTTTAACTTATTTTATTACCCATCGCAGCAAAGCCTCGCAAGAGCATGGTGCTTCCACCACCATCATCATCATGTTTGGTTGAAGGGATGCTATTGATTGGATGTTGATCAGTGTCTGGATTGCTCCATTCCAGGTGTTGGGAATTGTCGCCACACTGTCCTTCTTTAACATTCTCCCGCATTCACAAAGGAACTCTGGCTCTCAGTCAAAGTCACCAGTGGGTTCTTGGTTGCCTGGTGGGCCATTTATATGGATACACCGTAATAAAATGGGAATGGTTGGTGATATTAAAGTCCTGTTTGTGGCACATTAGTATATGTGAGGGGGCAAACTCCTCAAGATGGGTGGTGACCATAGTGGCCATTTAGAAGTCGGCCATCTTGGATACAACTTTTGTTTGTTCAATAGGAAGAGGGCCATGTGACACATCAAACTTATTGGTAATGTCACAAGAAAAACAATATACTAATGTGCCACAAACAGGACTTTAATATCACCAACCATTCCCATTTTATTACAGTGTATCCATATAAATGGCCCACCCTGTAGGTGGACAGGTCTAGAAAGTTTGTTGGTGGCTGTCGAAAATATTCAGTCCTTCATCATCTCAGTAGATGATTCACTTGACATATGGCTTGGTTCATACTGACTTAAACTGACAAAAACTTTGTAACTTCACTGACAGGGATTTACATTTCCTATTTATGTCCAGTTATTTCAGTTAGACACAGATGTGTTCTAGTCAAGATATAAAAGCATCTCAAGTGTCATTGATAGAAGTGGGACGCACCAGAGCTCAATAGTGTGTGTCATAACAAAGAGCCTGAAGAACAAAGAGCATAACAAAGAGCCTTTTTAACACTTTGATTAATAATTGAAAACATCTATAATAAAAATCCTCTGGTGATGTTTGTCTTTCTTTTTCTTAAACTAAGTTTTTTTTAATCTAATATAAGCATCAAGAGAACACTAAATGGCTAAAAGACACTAAAGATGTAGAAACATACCTATGGGTGATTTCATTTTCTTGTAACAAATTTTACATTTTCCCATTTTAAAAAAGCAATTTAATAGCACTCTAAATGAGACTAGAAGGGGTTGGGCGGCAAAGTGAAATGCAGAAGAATCTGACTGATCTGCCTTTCCAGCCGCTGTGTCATTGGCTCCCTGTCTGTACCTGGAGAAAACTTTATGGTCCATTTTACTCAGCACAGCCAGCACTGTCTGGCCCCAGGACGGCAGTGTAATGGAGATGTAAAAATGTTACATAAAAAGGCTGTTAGAAAATGTATGAGGGCCATAAAGTCATTCTGCATACCATTAAAAGGGCAATACAGAGCCAATGTTTTATCGATGCATATTGTCCTGCTACAGTAACTTGTGAGTCCCGGGGTGCCGGTACTGATGGCCTTGGTCTTTACAGTTACAACCCTGGACTTGCTGGGGAAATTACTGCCAATTGTATCGCGCTGGCAGAAAATATGAATGCAGGCTGCTCTTTTTAGTACAAGGAATACGACCACGTCTGAATGCCAATGACATGCATTTGTGCCAATCAAAACAACTTTACTGCTTTTTTCAATAATAACTGTTTGATAAATTTGATGACTGCAGACAGCAGTCTTTCTTTTAAGGGGGTATGATATGTACAACAGAATATTGTTTGAATTTTCTCAAATTAATTCATTTAGGGAGCTTGTTGATCTTTGTAGAACTTTTATAGAACTCTAAAATGTTTTTTTTTTTTTACTTAACTTGATTTCTGTTTCATTTTTTCATTTTTGGTTTTTCAATCTGGATGACGCTGAATAAGGAAGATCTTTGTTTTTAAGTCTCACTTTCATTTCACATGGCAGTGTGTTTGCACAAATGTATTCCTCGCTGCCATCTTTGGCTGTTGCTCAGGCGGAAGAGCAGGTCATCTACTGATTATAAGGTTGGTGGTTCGATTCCTGGCTTCCCCTAGTCTGCATGCCAAATACAGGGAGTGCAGAATTATTAGGCAAGTTGTATTTTTGAGGAATAATTTTATTATTGAACAACAACCATGTTCTCAGTGAACCCAAAAAACTCATTAATATCAAAGCTGAATGTTTTTGGAAGTAGCTTTTAGTTTGTTTTTAGTTTTAGCTATTTTAGGGGGATATCTGTGTGTGCAGGTGACTATTACTGTGCATAATTATTAGGCAACTTAACAAAAAAC